AGCATGTCAGACATTGAGAATAGTGCTCTGCCTTTCTGGTCACCACTGACATTTAAATTAAATAATATTTATTTTAAATTATGTGTGTATGTCTGTAGGTGGGTATGTGCATGTGAGTTCAGGTGTCCGTGAAGGCCAGAGGTCTTGGATCACCCAGAACTGGAGTTACAGGAGGTTGTAAGCTACCTGATGTGCTGGAACTGAACACAAGTACTCTGCAAGAGCAATACATGCTCTTAACTCCTGAGCCATTTTTCCAGTCCCCTATATTTATTTATTTATTATGGGGGAGGGGGATGTGGGCATGTGAATGTATGTGTCACTGTATGTGTATAGATATCAGTCAGAGAACAAATTGTGGGAGCTGGTTCTATCCTTCCACCATGTGGGTTCTGAGGATGGAATTCAGTAGTCAGTTCACCAGGCTTGGTGGCAAGCAACTTTACCCACTGAGCCATTTTGTTGACCCTTATTTGTGTACTTGTATGGTATGTGCTGAACGTGTGCATATATGTCAGAGAACACTGGATGCACTCCTCTATCATTCTCCATTTTATCCCCGTGAGACAGGGATCTCTCATTGAACTTGGAACTCATGCTCCCCCTCTCATCCCTCCAGCTAGCCTGGCAGCCAGCAAGCCACAGTAAGCCTCCTGTTTCCACTCCCCCACAATGCATGCACACTCAACCACACCCAGAATTTTTTAAAACATGGGTGCTGGGGATCTGAACTTAGGTCTTCAGGCTCATGCAATAAGTGTTCTTAAAAACTGAGCCATCTACCCAGCCCACATTATTTTTAATAACTTTGTACATGGAACAAAGTTTGTGTATATTAAATCATTCTGTATGCATTTTTCAATACAATTATTTGAGATTAAACTTTTATTTTCAAATTTTTATTCATTCATTTATTTTTATTTTATGTGTATGAGTGGCTGCACATGTTTAAATGCACCTGTTAATACAGTGCCCACAGAGACCAGAAGAGGGCATTGGATCCCTTGGAACTGGAGTTAAGAAGGTTTGTTAGTTGCCATGTGGGTACTGGGAACTGAACCTGAATCCTCTGCAAGAACAGCCAGAGTTCTTAATTAATGAGCCACCTCTCCAGCCAATTATTTTAAAGTTGGGTTTATTTGTTAGTGTTCCTTTTTTTTTGTTGTTGTTGTCTTTTTGGGGCAGGGTCTCCTTGTAGCCTCAGCTGGAACTTGCTATGGAGACCAGGCTAGCCTTGGTCTCACAGATATCTGCCTGCCTCCTGCATGCTGGGATTAAAGGTGCACACACGGTGCCTAGCTGGTATTCCTTTTTTTAAAAATTAAAAAAAAAAATTTATATATGAGTGTTTTGCCAACATGTATGTAAGTGTACCACATGTGTGCAATGTTCCACAAACACCAGAAGAGTGTGTTCGATCCCCTGGAACTGGAGTTACAGATGGTTGTTAGCCACCATTTGGGTGCTGGGAATCGAACCTAGGTTTTTTGAAAAAAAAGCAAGTGTTCTTAAGCACTGAGCTATCTCTCCAACCCCTTATTTATGTATTTACTTATTTTTTAATTTTTTTTTGGTTTATGTGTATGAGTGTCACATCTGCATGTGTGTAAGTGCACCTGTGTCATTCAGTGCCCATGGAGGACAGAAGAAGGTGTCAGATCCCCTGAAGTGGAGTTACGCATGGCTGTTAGCTGTCATGTAGATGCTGGAATTTGAATCGATGTCTTCTGCAAGAACAGCCAGTGCTCTTAACCACTGAGCCATCTCTCAAGCCCCATTTATTTATTTAATAAAAAATAATTTATTTTTATTTTATGTATTGCCTGCATGTGTACAAGTGTACCCATGTTGTGCAATGTGGTTAGAAGAGGGCATCAGATCCCCTAGAACTGGAGTTACACACAGTTGTTAGCCGCCATGTGGGTGCTAGGAATCAAAGCTGGGTACCCTACAATAGTACCCACTGAGCCACCTCTTGAGACCCAGTATTCCTATTGTTTAAATTTCTAGTCATTCCCACATTCCTGAGCAACACGTTCCCATTATTTGAGACGGGAAATTACCTTAGATTTCTCCTAGAATCTTCATCATCTTCAATCTTCTGGCCTTCCTCTGTTTGTCCTAAAGAGTAGACCCAGAAAAAATCATGAATTCTATCTATAATATTAGATTCTAGGTAGACAATTTAACATAGCTATATCTAGCACACTCCTCAACTGAGCAGCCTTTCCATACTCTAAATCAATGGGCAGCAGAGATGAGCAAGACAGATTTGTTTGTTCATTGGCTAACCTCGCCCTTACCTATAGCAACCAGGTTCTTGAAGGTTTCCTGCATCACATCTGTGTAGAGTTGCTTCTGGGACATATCCAACAAATCCCACTCCTCCAGGGTAAAGTTCACAGCCACATCCTCAAAAGTCAGATAGTCCTAAAACATCCCACAATTGGAGGAAGAGTGAGATTGACAGCACTGTAATCTAGACTTAGTGCATAAGAAGTTCACATAGTACTGTGTTCTCCAAAGGTCACAACACTTTCTCCATGCACAATCACTTCCTCTTACACAGAAATTCCCGTACTGGATTGGAACTCTTCTTTAAAGAAATAACGGACAAGTATAGCAAATTATACTACTGGATCATACAATTCTTCTTGGTACACATGGACTTTCATACCTGTCAACACCTGCTACTTAGTGCATGCAGTTAACATGAGCTATCCTGAGTCCACATATTTTTAGAAATGGCTGAAACCAAAGTTTGACCTTTGGTGTCTAGATACTACTGTTGTGGCAGATCTCAGCAGAATGATGGTAAGGGGTGTTATGTACAATAAATGTGATTTGCTTAGCTCCTATTTGCCCTTTGAATGTCTGAAACTTTCAACATGTTCACTAGAGGGAGACCAATGGATTGGTCTCAAAGCACTGTTTGGATGGTGAATCCCTATCCCCCCCCCCCCCTTTTTGGGGTATTTTTGAGACAAGGTCTCCCTGTAGCCTCAGCTGGCCTAGAACTCACTTTGTAGACCAGGATGGCCTCTATCTCATAGAGATCCACCTACCTCTGCCTCTAGAGTGCTGCGATTAAAGGCATATACGACCCCACCTGGCTGAATGATGAGTCTTTATTGAGCTGGCCTGATATTTACCACTTTCTCTCACAACATATTATTTATAAAATTCACCATTTCTACTGTGATTGTACTAAGAGAAAATGTCAAGGAGATTATACAGGGCTTCTTACAAACCAACCACAATTACATACATAAAAGACTTCTGGAGGGTAATTTACTATGCTAATTAGGAACATTCCTTTTTTAATTGGAGAATCCCAAAGGACAATGAAATAATGAGAATGACTGGAAATGATGGTACATTTTTAAGAAGGAATTCAATGAGTTCCTAATGTCACTTCTTACACATACCTATAAATTTTCATCAGTCCTGCAGGGTGTGGTAATACACATCTTTAATCTACCCACTCAGGAGGTAGACAGAGGCAGTCAAATCTTTGAGTTCCAGGCCAGTCAGGCTCCACAGTGTCTTAAAAACAAAACAAAACAGAAACAACCGAAAAGCAAGGAAGCAAGCAAGCAAGCAAACAAAAACCCAGAAATAACTGAATGGGTTACTGGGGCATGAAGTAGGTCACAGGAGCATGGAGCTTAAGTGTATATCCTGTCCCAAGCCCTTTACTTCCTCTATTTCCCTCCCAGCTTCCAGGAACTGAGCAGCCTCCTCTGATATCAGTTACCACTGTCATGATGTTCTTGCCCCATGCAGGATATGAGATACTTTGTCTCATCTGTAGCAGCTGTAAGAATTTCTGTTAAGAGAGTTACTTAATTTTAGCTTAATCAGTTCTGTAGATGAGACTTGAGACATTTCTCTTTGGCAGTGATGGGGACTGAACCCAGAGCATTATAAAAGACAGGTAAGTGCTCTATCAATACATCTCAGTACATCCTTAGGCCTTGGTTGAGACAGCATTTTAGTATATAACTCAGGCCAGTCTTCATTTGCTATAGAGTCCAGGCTTACTCAAATACAACTATTCTGGCCCCTCCTCCCCTGTTCTGGGATTATAGGTGTATCCTACCACACTCTATCCACCCTGCCATGGAATTTAATCTTGTATTGTACTTCCACAATTTAACTGTAATATGCCCTAAAGAGGCAATTTTCTATTAATTTCTATTTAGGTATCCAAGTGTTGCCTGGAGCTGGAGATCTAGTTCTCAAAATGTGGGAGAATTTCTGCTATAATGTTCTAAATGTGATTTTTATGTCTTCAGAAACAGCTTTTCTATCTTACTAATTCCAATTGCATGTTAGCTCTTCTCTTTGTTTCCCCTCCTTTCCTCATTTCTAAAGCTGGTGACTGAACTCAGAACACACTACATGCTAGGCAAGGATACTTGGAGCTATATCCCAGTCCTTTTTTGGGAGGGAGGTGCTTTAAATAGAGCCCCACAGATCTTATATGTTATATTCATTTATTTTTTGCTTTACTTCTGCCTGAATGTTTTTATGACATGTCTTCTATCATGGATATTCTATGTTCTACTTGACTGATTCTACTGGTTAGGCCTTTGACTAAATTTAAATATTTTTATTAATTTATTGTGTATGTACACATGTCCCTGCCATTGTATGCATATAGAGGTCACAGGAAAACTCCAGACTCAGTTCTCTTCCACCAATGTGAGGCCCCAGGGATTGTACTCAGGTCATCAGCCTTAGTGGCAACGCCTATAACACTGAGCCATCTTGCTGGCCCTCAACTGAATCTTTTATCTAAGGGATGTTTTCATTTCCAAGGTTTAAGAGTTTTTCTTCTGAATCTCTGTCCTTATTCAATTTCTGATTCATATTCTGAACTGATATTTTTAACTTACTCTATAGCAGGGCTTTTTTTTTTTTTTGTTTCTTCTTGGAATGAATTCATCTCTTAAAATCATTTTTATATTCCTTACTGTAGCAGTTCGTCTATGTGAATACTTTTTAGTCTGTTGGCACATAACTACAGGGAGTGAATTTTTAATTTTTAGTTGTTCTTACATTTACTTATTTAGTTGTGGGGGGGTACTTGCATGCTACAGAGCATGTGTGAAAGTGAGAGAGCAAAGTGAGAGTTGCTTCTCTCCTTCTACCAATGGGATGGGTCCTGGGGACTGAACTCAGGTCAATAGGCTTAGTTGCAAGTACTTTAGCAGCTGAGCCATTTCACCAATCTGATATTTTGTATGGTAATATTTACTGTTTCAGTGCTGAGGTCTACACATCTATTGATGATTGGTGATATCTTTCCAGTTTTCTCACTCCTGAGAAGGAGCCTTCTCTTGGCACTGGGTTTAGGTATCAACATGTTAAGCTGAATTTAATAGTAATTGTTCTATAAAGAACAATTGTTTATATAAAGAAAGCTTAATGTCACAAAGGTTTGGTGGGTTTTGACACATCTATACTGCTTTGGCCTGAAAGATACATTTCCTGAGTAGGTCTAGAAAGAGTATCAATCACTTTGTTATTCAGGCTATTGCTGTGTATACCAGAGTATTTGGGGTGTATCCTCTATGGTTACTTTATAGTAGGAGTAGAACCCCTTTTCAGATGGTAGAGTCTCCATGGGTTCTCTTGATATCGGCCCATTATTATTAAAAGTGATTCTGATCTTGGCTGTTTCGATTGTGGTGAAAGAACTGAAACACATGGGAGTTTGTGTCTCTCTCCTAGAAGATGCGTTCACTAGGGTTTGAGTAGGAATGGGCAGATCAGGGATAAATTCCTCTTGATTGAGCTGGAAATTAATTCAAATGCAGGTCACCTCCCCAGTGTGCAAGCAGAAAGACCTCAGCTTGACCCCTGACACTGGAGAGGAAAAGAGTATAAAAAAAAAAAAAAAAGAAAAGAAAGAAAAAGAAATGAAAGACATAAAATAGTAAAACTTAATTTTTAAAAATCAACGGAGCAGATTTTGAGGATAAGATGGTAGATTAGAAGCTGCCTTCCTGTGACTCCATGAAGAAGGAAAACCAGGGTAATGGGGGACAGAGTTTATTCTAAAGACAGGAAGAACACTGGGAGTAACCAGATGAAGATGATAGGACAGCTAAAAAGCATAAACAGAAAGGCTATGTGCCAAAAAGGAGGAAACAGCTTGCAGCTCCAGCCCAGATCCCCAGTGAAACAAGAGGTAGTTAAGGAAATGCTGAGACATGTAGGTAGCCAAAGGCTCTAGCCATGAAGTGCAGGGAGGTTGGTGGATCTAACAGTTGTGGTGAGGACAAAAATGCCATTTCCCAAACAGTGGAAAACCACAGGCCTGTGCTCAGCGACTGCTCAGCCTCCAGAGTTGCCTCCCTGGCATGTGGTTTGCTACTGACAGACACAAGGCCAAGTGACCACAACTTCAAGAGCTTGCTCCTGTTACAGGTTGGTGTTCTATTGGGCAGGATGGAAAGCACCAAGACCAACCCTCCAGTGCAGTTTTCAGCACTAAGTGCTTCTTCCTTTCCCCCTTCCCTGCCACTTGCCTTTCATTTGTTGTTATTACTTTTTGCTTAATTTTTTTTTTTTTTTCTTTTTGAGACAGGGTCTCCCTGTAGCCCCAGCTGTCCTGGAACTCCCTATGTAGACCAGGCTGGCCTTGAACTCACAGAGATCTGCCTGCCTCTGCCTCCCGAGTGCTGGGACTACCGGCGTGTGCCACCACACCTGGCTCTTTTTGCGTAATTTTTAACTCAACAGCGCTCCCTATCTTATTTTGCCATTTTATTTTCAATGGCTATTGGTGACATAGTAGTGGACCTACACTGAATTAATTTCTAGTATTTCCATACCTGGTGTGCTCCAATGTTAATGTTAGTGCTATTTTCCATGATTTTAGTGGCACTGGGTTTGAGTCCTAAGAAAGGTGCTCATGAACAGATAGATATTCATCACAACAAATACACAAATTGTAACAGGAAAAGCAGGACAAAAATTACTCCTCCAGAGATGAATTCCAGACAGTGAATGAATTCATGATGTAGTTTTAAATGTGATCAATGACCTCACAGAGGATTCAAAGGAGATGAAAAGATTCAAGGCAGTAAACTCAGGACCCAGAGAAGAACGAGAACAGCATGGATGATTAATTTTAGAAACATGGAAGAAAAATGGCTCAAAGAAATTGAGATTCAGTAAACAACAACTCTATACAGAAATGTTGGAAAGACTCAAAAAATGAAATATACAACATAGGGGAAAGCATCACCAATAGACTAAAGTGGAAAATAGAATATCAATAATTGAAGACAAGGATGGGAAAATATATTTTTACGATGAAGAAAAAAGGAAAGCCTAACCACAATTTTAAGAACTCTAGGACATGATCAAGAGGCCAGTCCCAAGAATCTATGTGGAAGAAGGAGCTGAGGTACAAATTAAAGGCATACAAAAATAATTCAATGAAATTAAACAGAAAAACTCTCAAAGCTAGGGAAGGTAGGGACATATAAACATAAGAGGCATTTAGAACTCCAAGTTGACGTGACCCAAAAAGAACTTTTCCAAGATATATGACAGTTAAAAATTATAAGCCCATGGGTCAGTGAAATGGCTCAGCAGATAAAACTGCTTGCTCTGCAACCCTAAAAGACCTGAGTTCAGTCCACGTACGCTGTGTAAAACAGCTGAAAACAATGGTGCACACCTCCAATCCCAACACTCCTGTAGAGACCAAGTGGGCAGCTGAGACAGGAGAGTAGTTCAGAAGCTTGCAGTTCAGTACACAGTGCAGAAAAACAAGAGGCTCTACCTCAACAAGGTGGAGGTGAGAACCGACTCCTGAAAGATGGCCTCAGACTACTATGTATGTGTTATGGTACTCACATTATTTCTCCCTCCTTCCCTCTTTTTGTCACTCTCTCTTCTGATGGTCAGAGGTGTTATGACACTTGATTGTGCCAGTGCTCCCCCCCACCTTTGTCACACATAATAATAAAAAATAAGACCACAAAAAAGAAACAATATTAAAAGAGGAAAACATCAACATACTTACAAAGCCACAATAATGAGACTACTATAAGACTTCTCAACAAAAACTTTAGCTGGTGCTTTCCTCTTCCATTTCACATATCTCAACAGGCTTTCTGAAATACTTATCCGTACTTCTGTAAACACTTTCTCCAATCTATCACTCTAGTTTTGTGTGTTCTACCCATTTCTCCTCTGAACCCTGTCTAAAGAAGAAGCCTATTTAAAGCAGAATGAAAGTTTATAGAAAGAACCAAAGGGTAAGGAGAAAGTGAGGAAGATCCAAGGCTACTTAGGGTAGATCCATAGGTAATGCCACACAGTATAGGACAGTTTAATATGGGGCAATGAGGCTAGACAATGGCCTTAACTCAAAGTACAGTAACACAACACATGGGCCAAGTGGCTGCACAAGAGACCATTACTTGCCAAGAATGACACATTAGCTGCTTTTATTCCCACTGCTATGCATTTTTATGACTTACATGTAGAAAACTTGCTACTATATCCTCACATGGCAGGGAGTTATTGCACTCCACTCTTGGGATGATATTAATCACATCACAAAAGCATGCTTATAATCCCAATTAACTTCTGTCTATCAGAAGAGGGAGAAAGCTGAATAATGGAGAGAGTATTTCAGAATGGCAGGCAGAACATATACTGTGTATTGCCATGAAGAAACTAATGAAAATTAATGCCACATAGGAAAGTCAAATGGCAAATAATTGGAATTATGTAAACCAAGAAGTTAGTAGCTATGAAGATGAAGACACAGACTTCACCAAATATGGGTAGGAAATAGTAGTTTCAATAGAAGCTATAAGAGGAAATTCTATTATCACATCTTAGGCATGTTTATTTCTCTACATCTTACACAGTGTATTAAGTGACTACTGACTGCACTAATGAGCACAGCAAAAACATCAGAAAAAGTGACGGATGAGAGTGTTTCATTTCTATAGAATTAATTTCATTTACTTTTCCTGGAAATATTTAATTTTAACATGTTGCCTGGAAACCAATTTATCTTCTAGATACTTATATCAATAAATATTTACTGCTCAAACTTGGGGTCTCATGACAAATGGAGAAGCTAAGAAAGTCTCCTGGAACAAGAAGCATCATCAAGAACAGTATTCAGTATATAAGCACGTGATCATACTATCTCAGGGGAACTTTTCTACATAATATAAGGGTCTATAGGGAGAACCTATACTTCTTACTAATGGAATCTCATAAGAACTATAGTGCTAGGGCTGGAGAGATAGCTCAGTGGTTAAGATCACGTGTTGCTCTTACAGAGGGTTCCCAGCACCCACATCAGGCAGCTCAGTCACCTGTAACTCCAGCTCTAGGGAATTTGATATTTCTGGCCTCTGCATAGGGGCAATCACATTCTTATTCACACATACACAATAAATAAATACATATTTTAAAAGGAACCATGATCCCATCTTCTTTGCTACCTAAACACTGACAAATTGCCACTGTTCTCCTCTGTGTGCACTCAGATGGCTTCCTCTTTGCTGCAGTTCTCAAGGATTCATTGTAGTATTCAAAAATGTTTGCATATACCTTTTCTGCACCATTTTTGCCCATGGTCTTAAACAGACAATATACAAAGGTTTAAAAAGACTACTGAACTTAAAGACAACAGTAACTCAGGGAAAAACAGAGAGGGATAACACACTATATTTTGAAATTATTGAGTTTTTAAAAATTTTTTAATTTATTTATTTATTTATTTATTTTTGGTCTTATTGAGACAGGGTCTCCTTGTAGCCCCAGCTGACTATGTAGATCAGGCTGGCCTCAAACTCACAGAGATCTGTCTGCCTCTGCCTCCTGAGCGCTGGGCTTAAAGCTGTGTGCCACCACGCCTGGCTGAAACTATTGATTTTAATGCAATATTTTCATTAATTATTTTCAGAATTCTATATATGTGTATAATGTACTTTGGTTGTGTTTAGACCAGGGCCACTGCCATCAACATCCCTCCTAACTGCATTTTCTTTTCTTTTTCTCTTTTTTTCTTTCTTTATTTTGCTTTTTTTTTCAAGACAGGGTCGTCCTGCAGCCCCACTTGCTGTAGCTTGCTATATAGATCAGGCTGGTCTTGATCTCACTCTGCCTCCTGAGGGCTGGGACTGAAGGCATGGGAAACCATGCTCAGCTTTTTTTTTTTCATACAGGTTCTCAATATATAGCCCTGGCTGGCCTGGAAATCACTACATAGACCAGGCTAGTCTCAAACATCCACCTGCCTCTACCTCCTGAGTACTGGGATTAAAGGCATACATAACCACATCCCAGTTCTTTTTTAAATTTAATTTAATTTTAAAAATAATTTTTATTTATTTATTTTTATTTTATGTATATGAGTGTTATGCCTGCAAGTATGTAAGTGCATCCAGGTCATGTAGTGCCCAAGGAGGCCCAAAGAGGGTGTTGGATTCCTTGGAATTGGAGTTAGCCACCGTGTGGGTGCTGGGATTTGAACCCAGATCATCTGCAAAAGAAGCTAGTGCTCTTAACTGCTGAGTCATCTCTCCAGGCCCCTGGTTCTTTTTTTTTTTTTTTTTTTTTTAAATAACCCAGTTCAATTTGTGCTTCCCATCTCTTGAGTGTGAAGCCATCTGTTGTACCATGGTTAACATATCAAGAGCCACATCCTTAATGAAAACTGCATTTGTCTTCCAAAAGACATCACCTGTCCAGAACTCCTTAGCTAGGGGTAGGAGACCAATGTTATTTTTAATGAAGGCCTATAGCATAAAAATTGAAGTAGATGTTAATGTGGTAGCACTAGAATGAATTATAAGATGCTGCTTGACTGCAATAAAGATTCAGTCTGTGTCTCCC